TCATCATCACCACCACCACCACCACCACCACCATCATCATCATCATCATCATCATCATCATCATCATCATCATCACCATCATCATCATCATCATCATCAGCATCATCATCATCCTGTTTCTCCTCCTCCTGCTCCTGCTCCTGCTCCTGCTCCTGCTCCTGCTACTCCTCCTCCTGCTCCTCCTCCTCCTCCTCCTCCTCCTCCTCCTCCTCCTCCTCCTCCTCCTCCCCCGTAGCCATTTGGGCTCAAGCCATTTGGGCCCAAGTTGCCATCTATCAAGGCGTGTGTGCACGCCGGCCCTGGGCCTGGGTGACCCTATGGTGTACCCAGGGGTGCCTGGGCGCTCCCCAGTCCTACCCGCATTCGTCCCCGACTTCCCCGGCCTGATCCACACAGATCCGATGGCCGCGCGGAGAGAGCACGGCCACTCCCCCGGGCTCGGGAGGGGAGGGGGGCCGCCGTGCAGGGGCCGCCGGGCAGCGGTGGCCCCACGTGAGACGAAGCCAGGACAGGGCACAGGCGAAGCTGACTGCGGCACAGGTGAAGGGGCCCTGGGACACACGAATAAATACACACAAATAAAAATATTCCCTATATGTTCCAATATTTTCTGGGTTTTGTCTTCCCCCCCAATTCCCATATTTTCCTATATTTTCCTGGGAGTCGACGATTAATTGTGTCTGTGTGATTCTTTCCCTCCTGAACAGGGGGAAAGAGTTCGGGTGACCCAAGAGGCGTCCAGCGGAAAGGGGGTGGTGCGATAGAGTTGGGGCAACTGCATTGAAGAGCTGCGGCGCCGGAGAATGCGACTGCAGTGTCATCCAGCAATACATCTGCGCCCCGGAATGTATTGCACGCCCCAAGTGTATTGCAACTCCACAAATTTATTGCACCAGATCAGATCTATTGCACCACCCAATTGTCGCTGGATCCCCTTTTGGGTCAACCCGACCCTGTGCTCAGGTCGGGTATGTCCTCCTGCAGGCAGATTTCGGACGAAATGCAAAGAATCATCAGAAAAAAACCTCAACAATTGTCCCCTGACGAATTGTTGATCATTCTCTCCTGTGGAGGGACAGGCCCGACTCAAAGGAAGGCGTGCGTGCACGCCGGCCCTGGGCTTAGGTCGCGCATGTGCTCCTACAGGCGGACCCTGGACGAAACAGAAAGAGCAATCCGAAGCAATCGTCCCCAGAATCAAAGCAGAATCAAGAATCCTACAGGCAGAATCAAGAACTGTCAAAGCAAAACTCCTACAAGGACGAAGGGCGTGTCCTCCTACAGGCAGAATCAAGAACCGTCAAAAGCAATCCCAAGCCAATCGTCCCTGGACGATGTTTTGCTCCTTCTCGCGAACTCTCCTCCTGTGGAGGCACAGGCCCGACTTCACACGGGAGTCGGGAGCGGCCAAGAGGGGGGTGTCCAAGAGGGGGGGGTGTGCAAATCATGACCGGCGGCATGTGCGCGGCCCAGCGGGGGGGCCAGGGACGTAATCAAATAAGAAGAGGCGCCACGAGATCTGGGGAAATATCATGGCCCCCGCCATGATATCCACCCCCCCTAGTCATCACCCCCCTCTTTTCCGCTCCCGAGGGAGGGCGTGCGTGCCCGCCGACCCCCCTCGGCCCGGGCGGGGGGCCCCCCGGGGCCAGGCTCTCGCCGTGCGGGTGCGCGCCCGGGGCGCCCGCCTGCTGCTCGGAAGCGACCGCCCCGAGAGGTCCGGCGCTCCGAGGTCGAGGAGGAGGAGGAGGAGGAGGAGGAGGAGGAGGAGGAGGAGGAGGATGGGAGGAGGAGGAGGAGGGAGGAGGAGGAGGAGGAGGAGGAGGAGGAGGACGGGAGGAGGAGGAGGAGGAGGAGGAGGAGGAGGAGGAGGAGGAGGAGGAAGGCCAAAGGCACCCCACTCGCACGAGGGCGGGCCCGTAGAGAGCGCGAGGTCTCGCCGCCGCCCCACCCCCCCCAAAAAAGGGGCAGCGGCGGGTTTCGATCCGTTCTTCGGCCTCCAGGGGCCCTCGCCGCGAGCCTCGGGCGCGCCCGCCCCAGAGGTCCGACGCTCCAAGAAGACTGCCCGATGTTGCCACGAACCCCGACCTTGGAGGGCAGGTGGGCGTGACTTGCGAGGAAGAGGGGGAGACAACGAAGAAGATGCCTATATGGGGGCCTAGTGCTGATTCCTGTGTTGGCCGTTGGACGCCGGACTATGTGGGGTCTCTCGGGTCGTCTGGTCCGACGCTCCAGCAAAAAAAAAAATGGCGGCGGGGGGTTTCGATCCGTTTTTCGGCCTCCAGGGGCCCTCGGCGCGAGCCTCGCGGAAGGTTTCGGCCCGCTTTGTCGGCCTCCAGGGGCCCTCGCTGGGAGCCTCGGGGCCGTCCAAAAACGACTCGGGACGAAACACCGGCCCTCCCTCCCTCCCCTCCCCTCCCTCCCTCCCCTCCCCTCCCCTCCCCTCCCCTCCCCTCCCCTCCCTCCCTGGGGAAGTGGTCCAGACCTCCCGCTGTCGGACTCGGGACGAAGCACCGGTCCTGGGGAAGTGGTCCAGACCTCCGGGGCTCACGCCTCGAAACAGCTGGAGCGGCTGGTTGTCTGGGGCAGGCCCTCTGTCTAGAGGGCAAAAAACAAAATCCACCCCCGCAAGAACCACCCCGAGAAGCGAGGCCGTCTGGTAAACGCACCCAGAGAAGGAATCGGACAGGGCAGGGCTGTTCAGTGAAGGCCCAAGGCCGTTTCGTGAGCGCCAATGATCGGATCTGAGTGTTCCCTCCCTTGACTTTCAGAAGGCGGCGGGCTCTGCTGAGGAGCTTCCTGCCGCCTCGCTGCGGAAGGGCTGACCCCTCGCGCAGCCCCAGGGGAGGCCGTGTCGAGACGGCGGCAGCTCAAAGGCGGTTCCGGGACCAGCTGTCCGAGCGGCGTTCAGCCGAGGCAACAAAGAACACACCCGAAGGCCAACTCCCACTGTCGCAGCTGGCCCTCCTCTGTCTGCATGCGCCCCGCCGACTTTGGGCACCCGAAGGATCCAGGGCGAACCTGGTCCGGGAGGGTCCTGTTGGGTGCCCCCAAGATGCGATCCGGGAACACCCTGGAGCCGCTCGATCCGGAAGGACTCTTGCTTCACGAGGGCACTGGACAGGATCTGCATGAGGCAGCAGGTGATCCAGGAAAAAGCTCGAGTCGAGGGCCATCTAATTTGGGGCCCCTCTGGCGCGAACGCGGGAGGCCTGAACGAGAAATTATCCTTAGGTCGGGCATGTCCTCCTACAGGCGGCTTCCGGAGGGAAACTTTAGGACGGCCATGGCGAATTCTCAACCACAGTCAAAGAAGAATCGGCATGTCGCCCCCAGACTACGCTTCTACTGCTTTTGCATGTTCCTGCACAGCCCCTGCTTGAAGTGACGGGGCATGCCCGGCTTGAAGGTGCCCCTGCACAGCCCCCTGCCCCGATGCCGTCGGGAGCTTCTGCGCAGCGCGTCGCGGCGGCGGCCCCGGCAGCACGCGGCGCCGCCCTGCGCGCGGACATCGCACGCCGCACGCCGCTCCGCGGGCGTGGGGTCGGAGGAGGCTCGGGGCGCCGACGCCCGGGGGGCCGAGCCGCAGGCACAGCGCGCCGCGCCGAGGCGTGGTGGGCCAGGGCCGGCGGAGCAACACGCTGGGCAAGAGCTCCTCGCCGCCTCCCCGGCCAGGGCTGGACCTGCACGCTGTGCTGCGTTGTGTCTTCGTCCCGTGGCTCGTGTCGCGCTCCGCCCGTGTTCCGGCACCTCCCCCAAAAGAGACGAAAAACAAAACACGGCCGAAGTCCAGCAAACCAGCGTTTAGGTCCAGCCCTGTCCCTGACCACCCCCTGCCCTGATAACTCAGGGCTCTGAGGAGCAGGGTCCGGCGGCCCGGAAGGAGCGGAGCACTGGGAAGGACCTGCGAGGAGCACGCGGTAGGCAGCAGGACTGCCGGCCTAGCTCCATCACCATCGAGGGCGTCAGCGGCGCTCTCGGGGGGAACGCGGGCCAAGTTCGGCCGCAGTTGGGGCCTGACGACGAAGACAAGGACGACGACGGCGACGAGGAGGACGCCAACGACGGCATCGGCGATGCATCAGCAATACATCGGAGACGTCGGCGATGGATCAGCGCCAACGGCGTGGAAAAAACATGGGCCCCACATCAAGCCACATCGGCCATGCATCGGCGATGCGGCGCGAAACTCCGATCCCATCTAGGAGGCCTAGAGTATCCCTGACCATACCCTGCCGCGCAGGCCGCTGCCATCGCATCGGATTCAGCGGTCGGGGGACCCCAGTGGGCCCCGCATCAGAGGCTCCTCCAGCGAAGGGGTTACTCTTACGTGTGGTCTGGGGAGACCAACATGTACCGATGCCGCTACTCCCCGGACCTGTCCCAGGATGCGTTCTGACCAGAATTTCGAAGAGAATCCAACGGTGGCGACGAGGGCCGTCGAGGAGGCCCAATAAGGGGAACACGGGCGGAGGGTAGCGGTATGGTTACATGTTTCTTCTCTGATGGTCGACCCTTGTCCTGATGACTCCGGACACGTTCGGCGAATGGGCCACTCTGCCTCCTCCTCCTCCTCCTCCTCCTCCTCCTCCTCCTCCGCCTCCTCCTCCTCCTACCCCTCCTCTTCCTCCGCCTCCGCCTCCTCCTCCTCCTCCTCCTCCTCCTCCTCCTCCTCCGCCTCCGCCTTCGCCTCCGCCTCCTCCTCCGCCTCCGCCTCCGCCTCCGCCTCCGCCTCCGCCTCCGCCTCCGCCCCCTCCTCCGCCTCCGCCTCCGCCTCCGCCTCCTCCTCCGCCTCCACCTCCGCCTCCGCCTCCGCCTCCGCCTCCGCCTCCGCCTCCTCCTCCTCCTCCTCCTCCTCCTCCTCCTCCTCCTCCTCCTCCTCCTCCTCCTCCTTCCGATGACCCGGGGCTCCGACGGCCTTCGAGGACTCCCGCATGCTGGGCAGGTTCGGCCTGCCCTCGACGCCCCAGAGGCCGCCGACCTCCCCCGCCCGGCGATCCCTGGCGCGCTGCGGCGCCACGGCCTGGACGCCCTGGCGCGGGTGCGCCGCAGACTGCCGCGCGGGCGCGCCGAGCTCCGGCGGGCTCCGAAAGCTGCCGCGCAGGCGGCCGCGCGCCGGCGAGCGCGGCGAGTGCGGGGTGAGCGGCGAGGGCGGGGAGTCCTCGGAGGGGGAGAAAGTACCCCTGCCGCTGCCCTTCGCGCGCTTCTCCCCTCTGTTCGACGCCTCCTCGGAGCCTCTCGTGGCCACCGCTGGCTTCGCCTCGAGAAGTCCTGGTCCGAGCGCACCCCTGGGAGAGGTCCGGGGAGCAGCGGTATCGGTACCTTTTGGTCTCCCCAAGTCTTCGGTGGCAACTCATGGGAGCCTCCCGTACCATCTTGTCGGCTCTTGCGAGTCGACGCTAAATCGACGCTGACCGACGCTACGTCGACTCCAATCGACGCTCAATCGACGCTCAATCGACGCCAGCCGACGCTAAGTCGGCGCTGTCTCGTTCACTCCCAGAAGCTAACGGACGCTCGCCGACGCCAAAGACAGAATTGCGAGGGCACACGAGGCCCCCGTGACTTGCCACCGAACAGGTCCGCCTCCCACTCGTCGCTGTCCTCTGCACGAGACGGCGGGCGGTGCCCTTCACCCCGCGCCCTCGCGGTCCGGGCTCGCACGGGCGCGCTCCTGCGGAGGCGCGGTCGCACGGAGGCGCTCCGCTGGCGGGGCGTCCGCGGGAGGGCGCCTCGCATCCGCGGGGGTCGCGGCAGAGTGGGGGCCCGGTCCGCGAGGCCGCGGGCAAGGGCATGCTTTGAGCAGGGACCGACCATCCCGGCATTCCTATAGGTCTGCCACGACATGTTCTCAGAACCCACACACGTGCCGAGAGCAAGAACACCGTTCTTGGAACCTGAACCCGACGCACCAAAACAAGACAGTCCCAGCCAGCAACGTTCACGGAAGATGTTGTAGAAACCAGAAAAGGTTTGTTGAACACTGTTGGGCGGGCCTATATGGGCACGCCCGGACGCTTCATCACTGCTTGAATGTTGTTCGCCCACGATGTCCGCTGCCTCGCTGGAGCCGTGCTCGGCGTTGGTGTCGACGCGCTGCAGGTTCGCGAGGCTCGACTGCCGCTTGATGGCGTCGTCCTCGTCCAGGCTGGCCACGGCCTCCGACATCAAGATGGGGTCCTTGAGGTAGTGCCCCATGAGCTGCACGGCGGCGAAGTGGGGCCCCTCCTTAGAGGGGCAACGACAGGGGGGGCCCAGCTCGGGGGGAAGCATCGAGCTGGAATCAGCGATACGTTGCCGATGGATCGGCGATAGGCCCCCGATGGCGATACTGCACGTTCCTGGGCGGGGAGGATTATCAGGCCCATAGCGGCGATGAATGGGCTCTTAGGGGTCGAAGCATCCACCCCTGATCCGATTCCCCCCTAATGTCCCCCCGATCCTTGTACAACCTGCTGAGGTTTGCCTCCCTCGCTTTGAACAGGCTCTCCCGCCAATTGTCGCGGGCTGGCCCCGATTTGCGGCACGGGTCCAACACCTTCGACCCCGAGGCGACCGCAAACATGATGGTGCCCGGCTGGACGATGTCGCTGTCCTGCTTGCAGACGACCAGCTTGCTGTCGATGAAGCAGGCTATGACCACGGCCCCCGTGTCCCTGAAGATGCGACTCACGAGCTCTGCGAAGGAGCAGCCCGCATACTCCTTGCAAAGCTCGAAGCCGTAGATGCTACGCTGGAGGCCACTCCTGTACTCCTTCTGCCACTCTAGCTCGGACTCGTCCTCCGCCTGCGAGTGCGTTGTCGCCCGATCGTTGGCAGGGTCTGCCCGGCGGCGGCGCGGATCCCGAGCCTGCGCGGCCAATGGGCGCGGCGATGAGACCCTGGAAGCGTTGGAATGCTCTTGCTCCGCCACCGCGCTCGTCACACTGCGTCCCTCTGCGCCCTTGCGCCCCGACACATCTCGGACATCGTCCAGCGACTTCAGCATGGATGTGATCACGGGCACGATCCCATGACACCGGACGTTCTGGGCCAGCATCCCCGCCTTAAGCTCCCGGAGCGAGAAGCACCTCACGATCTCGATGCCCGACTGCACCGCGAGCTCCTTCGACTGCGGCCTGAGCAGCATCAGTCGCAGGCGCACCTTGGGGTAGAACTCGGTGAGGGTGACGGCGATGTAGATGCTGTCCTCGTCGTCCTCGCTCGGACTGGTGCTGTTCACGTCAGAGAGGAGGAAAGTCATCTCGCTGGAGCCGACCCCTGCGCGCTCCAGGTCCTCGTTGGAGCTGGAGCTGCCAATGATGAAAGTCACATGCTCGCGCATTGCGATGGGAAAGCCCTCCTCCACAAGGAACTCTGCGAACGTTGCCGCCTGTCCTCTCTTTGTCGCCTTGCCCGTGTCGTCATCCCATGGGTGGCGAGAGAAAATCACAACATTGGGCCACTCAGACTGCGAGGTGCTGTGCAAGACTTCCCGCAAGAAACCAGCGACCAAAGACTTAAATGACATCGCTCGCTTCTTGGAACAGAGTATGACAACCACATGTTTCTGGCCATGCCCCCCGTGGTAGGCACCAGAGCCCTCGACGACCGAAAGCAAGGCCTGCTGAAACATAAGCTGCGCGAAACCGATGTACCCAACGCCAGTGACAATAAACAGCACGGTGAGGACACGGGATAACGTAGTCCGCGGCGCGAAGTCGCCGAAGCCAACCGTCGTGATCGTCACGACGGTCCAGTAGATCATCTGGTAGGCAGAAATGCTGTCGCCCCCCTGTGAAGCCACGAAGGCATCTCTAAGGACAGGTGGATCCCCCAGCACCTCCGCTGTAAAAATGACTCCTGCCATCACCACAACCAGGGCGACCACCCTCAAAACAACAACCGTGCCCAGGAATAGCATCTTCTTTTGCTGCAGCACGGGGGACAAGTTGCGCATCCGCTGGAAAGCGCGAATCACGTTGAACGAACGCAAGAACTGCAACGACAACCAATCATGCCCGCCCGCGTCTTGCCTGAAATAACTTGACAGCATTGGAACGACCGTGAAGGTGGTAACGATACTGCTTGCACGCATAAGGCTAGGCACAGAGCACTCGCTTTGGAGACTGCCGGTGACCCAATTCAGCAAGTTGACGATGGAGGCGACGAACAGTACATTCCGCTCCGACATGTTCGTCTGCCGCTGGTACACGGTCATAAACCAGATCGCCACGGACATCGACGACACGACCATCTCAATGACGAGCGCGACAATCAGCCAGCGGTAGCGCTTCGCATTGTGATCTGGCGTGCCCACCCACGTCTTCAGAAAACGTCGAAACGGCCGGAACCTTCTCACAGCCCAGCGGAAGTTCCTGATGGCGGTACGCCCGAAGGGGTGGAACGATGCAGGTCGCTTTTCGTCGGCGACACTTCAGAGGCCTCCTGCAGTCGGACCTGGGCCAGAAGAACATCATCCAAGCACATGAGACCCTCCGCGGGCAGAAACACGCAGAAAATCCGAGGGCACCCTCCCCAGGATCCACAAGAGCGCCCCACGCCCACGAGGAACATCAGGGCACCTCTCCAAACGGGCCTCGATCTTAGACCTCGGTCCGACTGTATACAGGCCTCCCGCTCCTTGGCAGCAGGCCTTTTGCCTTATGATGGTCTTGCCTACTTTAGCCTTGACCACCAGGAACAATTTCGAGCACCAAGAAATTAACGACACTGGAGGGACTTCACGGGTCGGGCCCTGGGTGGCGATACTCGCACGACACTTGTTCGATACTCTTCTGGGTGCTCGAAATTACTTCTGGGATTTGGCTCTTAAGTACAATGGGAGCAGCATACCCAAATACCCGACGTCATGTTTTTTTCATGACGTCGACCCCCAGAGGTCTCGACCCCTTCCCCGGGACCGGATTTCTCATCCTGAGCCAGTTTTTCACGGTCCCGAGGCCCAGAGAGGGCCCCCGGATGCCGAAAGCAGGGGAAAGGCAGATTTTGTCCAGGACTCGAAGGCGTCTGGGCAAAACTCGCGGCTCGAGGGGAGCAGCATAACTTTGGCCGCCCGATGGGGGGGCCGCCCCCCCCCCCTGCCGTGCTCCCGACCGCGCCGGCGGTCGAAGGGTGGCCGCCGGCCGCCTCCTAAGGCCCACCCTGCCCGACTCCAGCCTCGCGTCGGGCCCGTCCCAGCACAAGAGAGGAGGCTTCAAAAACAGCAAGGAAAAGTAGGAAGGGGGACGACTCTTCGACCATGCTTGACTAGTTTTGCATACGCGTCGTTCCTTTCTAATCGTGCGCGTTTCTGAATGTGGTCGTTTCTACTTGTTCCTGGCCCCCTCGCGGCCAGGAAGAGGCCCAGGATCGAACAATTAGAAATGAAAGGATCTTGGCCCCCCAAAAAAATCAAAGACTTTTCGAAGAATTTGACATGAACCATGTGTATTTTTGCTTGAATCTCACATATCTGTCATCCAAAATCCGCCCGTATGGGGGACACGCCTAACTTCGCTCAAGCCGAGCGGCGTCTGACTACCGCGACGAGGAGGCTCCGGAGACGCTCCCCACCACCTTCCATTGGGGCGGCGAGGCTGGAGGGAGGAGCAGGAGGAGGAGAAGAGGAGGAGGAGGAGGAGGAGGAGGAGGAGGAGGAGGAGGAGGAGGAGGAGGAGGAGGGAGGAGGAGGAGGAAGAGAGGGAGGAGGAGGAGGAGGAGGAGGATCCACGAGCGAGGGGGGAAGCGAGAAGGAAGAGGCCCTCTCGGAAGGCGGCGGGGCTTCTCGGGAGCCCTCCGGCCTTCCGAGAAGCTGTCTGCGTCCTCGGGGGAGGCTTCGAACACTTCTCACAAGGCCGGGGGAGCTTCCGAGCCTTCTGGGAAGGCCCGCCTCTTCTTGCTTGCCCCCCGGGCCCATGGCCGACCCAAGACACCGTCGACGTTGTCGACCCCGAGGCTGGCCAGAGCACCCTCCCTCTTTCGACTAGGGGATCGACTCCAGAATTGATTTGGCCCAGAGTCGACTTCCCCGCCGAATCTACGAAACATGCGTCTCGTGTCCCGTAGAGTGGCAAGCATCTTACGCGTTTCTTGCAGAATCGTCGGGACAACGTAGTTTCCTCTTCTTGGCACGCAACACCCGGGAATGCTTTCCCCGCCGACGAGTGCACGAGACATGCGTCGCACGTCCCGTAGATTGGCGGGCATCTCACGCGTTTCTTACACATTCGTCGGGACAACGCGTTTCTCTCTCTGTCGCTGCCACACGACACCCGAGGAAGCCGCGGGCGAAGCGCGCGGTCCACCTCCGAGGAGGGCGCGGTGCCCCGAGTGCCTCCACGAACTCACACGCGGTCGGCCCATACCACCCCAGGCCGGGGCGGCAACTCTGCTGCCGATTAGGGTTAAGTCGGGCGTGTCCCCCTACGGGCTGATCCTGGAGGACAGATACAAACTAATCCAACAATGCACCCAAAATAGCCAAAAATAGTCAACACATCGTCTTTGAATAGTCCTCCTGTAGAGGGACAGGCCCGGCTTAAGATTAGGGGAACGAAGAATGACATGAACATAAAAACTCGGAGGTCCGCGCGGATTTCTCGCATCGGCGCCGGAAACCCCTCCCTGGCGCGCGGAGCGAGCCGGGGGGCGGCGCCGGAGGCGCCGCCGGGGGGCCCCAGCGCCGATCCGAGAAATCCGCGCGGACCTCCGAGTTGTTATGTTTATGTCATTGTTCGTTCCCCTACAGATCCCCTATCCAGAGGCCTACTACAGGGGGTCCGAGTAGCTGTGGTCGGAGGATCGCGCCGCATCGCCGATACATGAACGATGCATCGGCGATGCCTCGGCGACGCACAGGCGACGTCGGCGTGGAGACAATCGGGCTCCGCATCGAGCCGCATCGGCGATGCATCGGCGATGCGGCGCGATCCTCCTCCTCCCTCCTCCTCCTCCTCCTCCTCCTCCTCCTCCTCCTGCTCCTCCTCCTCCTCCTGCTCCTCCTCCTCCTCCTCCTCCTCCCTCCAGCCTCGCCGCCCCCATGGAAGGTGTTTTGGTGGGGAGCGTCTCCGGAGCCTCCTCGTCGCGGCAGCCAGACGCCGCTCGGCTGGAGCTAAGTCGGGTGTGTCCCCCTACAGGCAGATGATATAGAAAAAATGCCGAAACTGATCGAAACAGAATCGAAAATCTTCCCCTGCCATTTTTTGACTATTTTTGAAAATTCCTCCTGTGGAGGAATACGCCCGACTTGAGCCTAGACTTATGTTGCCCCTCTGTTACCTAAGCTTAGGCTGTTGGACCTCTGGCAAGACACCTCTGGCGAGGACGGCCAGCAGCCAGACCCGACGGGCGCAGAGGCCCGCCCTCCGAAGCTGCGGCCGTGTCACACCCGTCCTCCTCCTCCTCCTCCTCCTCCTCCTCCTCCTCCCTCCCTCCTCCTCCTCCTCCTCCTTCTCCTCCTCCTCCTCTTCCTCCTCCTCCTCCCCCTCCTCCTCCTCCTCCTCCTCCTCCTCCTCCTCCTCCTCCTCGGGTCGCCTACGGCCCTGGGGGCCAGACCCGACCGGCGCTCGGCCAGTCTTAGGCGAAGCCAGGAGGAGGACACACAGAGGAACAAAACGAAGGGCAACCATAGGGGGGGAAAGGGATAGGGGGGGAAAAAACATCGATTTTGGAATCGGCGATGCATCGCCGATAGATCGGCGACGGGCCTCCGATAGTGAATACGAACCTCCGTGGGCGGGTTGGGGCTATCGGGCCCCTATCGGCGATCAATGGGCGATTGGGTGTCGATACGTTCCCCCCTATGCCTATCCCCCCTGTCGTTGCCCCCGACAAAAAGCGGCATAAACGCAACCTGTCGTCGGTCCGCTCGGATTTCTTGGATCCGCGCTGGGCCCCCCTCCCTGGCGCGCCGAGCGCGACAGGGGCGGCGCTGGAAGCGCCGCCAAGGGGGCCCAACGCAGATCCAAGAGATCCGCGCGGACCTCCGAAAGTTTATGTTTATGCCGTCTTTTGTTCTTCGCATCAGATCGGGCGAGGATACATCGAGAATTTCTGAGATGCGGCGGCTCTGGAGGATGTCTCGAGCGCCGCGGCCTTCGCAGAGCGTTCCGGAACGCTCTGAAACGGATGTATCCTCGTCCCAGCCCCGTCCGCCAGTCGACCTTGGCACGGCGGTGGCTCCCATCAACCTCCTAAGCCTCCAGGGACGCCCAAAGAACTTTCAGGAAGACGTCGACGACGTCTACAGTCGGACCTAGGACAGAAGAGCATCCTTCAAGAGCACGAGACCCTCCGCTGGCCAGAATGAACAGCCTTCGAGGGTACCCACCCCCAGGATGCACAAGAACGTCCGACAAGCACGAAAGACGTCGTACCTCGGTCCGACCGTACGGAGGTCGCCGCCGAAAGTCTCTGGAGGTCAACCGCGATCCCCAGAGGTCCACGCCGGCCATCGGAGGTCACCGCAGGGTCTCTGGAGGCTCCTGGACGACGGGCTTCGCCCTCTCCCCTGGGAGATACACACGACCTCAGGAATTTGACACCCCCATCCAAGGAGGGCCAGCAGAGGCCTCGTACATGGGGTCCGAGTAGATGGGGTCCTCCTCATCCTCCTCCTCCTCCTCCTCCGCCTCCTGCACCTGAGATTCGCATCACGTGGCGAATCCCT